CGGAGGGCGCGGGCGCAGCCGGGGCCCCCCGAGCGCCGCCACCGGGGGGTGAACCTGCCGCGTGTCCCGCTCACGCGTGTCCCGCTCACGCGTGTCCCGCCCGTGTTCGCAGGGAAGGGAGCGTTTTACCGGGTTCTCATTAGAAAATGCAGTCCCTACAACTCGACTGCTGAGGAAAGGTAACGAGGTACACGGCAAACTGTGTGGCGTCGTTTACTGTAGCACTGCAACACCCGCAGGAGCAACACCACGCAATACTGTAGGTATGTACTGTCACTCACTGTCCCGTGGGACAAACTATCTACATTATATATACACAGTACCAACATACATAGTACCAACTATACATAGCATAACTATATATCGAGTACCAACACAACCCTGTTGTCCACACGAGCTCTAGCAACCCTGCACGCAGCGCTGCACGGAGACTCCAAGGCGTCTTCTCCCGGAGCCGCCCGTCCTTCTTCCCGCAAGTCACTTCCTCCTGTGGCTGTGGGTCTTCAGCTCCTCCAGCTCTTTCTCCATTAGGTGAGACTCGGCTGTGGTCTCGGAGAGCTGCAGTGTAAAGGAACAAGAGAAACGAGCTGCTGCCCCAATCTCCACCTCACGTCACGCTTGTGGGGCTCACATCAGCTCAGCGGGGGTGCGAGGTGTCCCGCACCTCCTCGCCCATGCCCTCCTGCCACAGGACGCAGGGCACGTCAGAGGTAGCTGCTTTCCCTCCGCAGAAGCACCATGTCTCAGTGTAGCAGAACATATTGAGCCATCTGCGTCTCACAAGCTCTTTCAGTGACACCTGGGATTTCACAGCACGACCTTCCCACAGATGTCACTGAGGTTTACAGCCACAGCACCCCTGGGAGCATTTGCTCACGTTTTAGTGAGAGGGAAATTGGAATTTCGCACCTCACTGAGATAGACTAGATTTTCTGCTTAGCGCAGAAAAGAACAAAAGTCAAGAAAGCATCTTTCCAGTTTTGAATCACAGAATAAAGGAGGAAAATGATAATGGAATAAATACTTGTTCAGACTTGTTTAGACTTGTTCAGACATAAAAGTTAACTCAATAAATAACTGAGCAATGATTCTCAGTTAGCTTCTACACTTTAGGTGTGAAAAGTATGATCTTTGGGCAGGGTTAAATTTCAGTTTACACAGGGTCTGGGGGTTCTTTCACCAGAAGGTTTACAGACAGATGAAAGACCATTTGTCATGCCAAAAGGAGGGTCCCAGAGCCTTAATCTTCTGTGGCCACAGAAGGCGACTGAGATTTGGTTTCCCAAGTGGCAGGAAGGCGGCCACATACTCTGTACAGAAAGAGGAAACACAACACTCATTGAGGCTCCCATCTAATCCCGCTCCAGTCTCCACTGAAGCCAGGATCTTCTGCTGGGGGAACCTTCCCCTCCTCTTGGGGGGAAGCAGAAAAGATCAAACTTCACTCTCACAGTTATTTTGCCATTAAAGTCGTCTTACACAGTAGGATAAAGCAGCGAAGAGAGCACACCCCGCAATGAGAACTGCTGCCTTTGGTGGTCCCAGAGCTTGTGGCTCAGCCATTTCCATTGCCACGGGCAGGCAGAGGCTCAGAGACTCACCATGTCCAGCAGAATATCCACTTTGAGTCGAAGAAGGTTGTTTTCTTCTTCCAGCTGCTGGTTTCGTTTGCGCAAGCGCTGCATTTCCCTGCGATCCCCAGTGAAGTTTCCTGACTCTAGAGGAGAGAGATCAAAATTAGGATTATCAGACCACGCATAACTATTTTGGATGAAACCAAGAAGAGTTTCGTCCTACCTGCTACCCACTGGCCATTTTCAAACTTCAAGCTCTGGCCAGCAAGGTTCATGGTGGGGATGCCATACTCCAGGCCCAGCTCAACCTCACGGGTTGATCTATCCAGCTGCAGGGAGAAGACCCAACCCAGAGTTTTACAGAAATGCAAAGCTTTATCTCTTATCCTCTCATAATCACTTACAGCAACTGGATTTTGATGGAAGTTGCTAGTGTGACCAGCCCAGAAGTCTGAAATCCTAACTCTAGCCGTGTGCTGCTACAGTAGAGCAGCCTCTCTGTAGCCTCTCACTACCATGCCCGAATCTCCTCTCACGCAAACATACACTCCATGTTCTGCAAGCAAACTTCATCTCTACATCGAATCCTTCCGACCTAAGGATTGAAAGTGGAATGTGTTCATTCCTTATGGTCCACTCTGTCCTCCTATTAGCACTGAAAGCTAGAAAAGGCATCACAGAACAGGTGAGGCTCGGAGGGACCTCTGGAAATCACACAGTCCGACCGCCTGCTGAAGCAGGGTTAGGCTGCCCACGATTGCATCCCATCAGGCTTTGAATATCTTAAAGGACGGAGACTTCAAAATCGCTCTGGGCAAATGGTTCTAGTTCAGCTGGTTCTAGTTTTCAGCCACCCTCACAATAAAAAAAGTCTTTTCTCATGTTCCAGTTAAATTTCCTGTGTTTCAGTTTGTGCCCATTGCTTCTCATCCTGTCTCTGGGTACCACAGAGAAGAGCCTGGTTCTGCCCTCCTTACATGCTCCGATCAGATATTTATACATATGAGTGACATCTCCACAGCTTTCTCCTCACCTGTGCTTAGAAAGGAAGGATCACCTCCCTCGACCTGCTGGAGATGCTCTCCCTGGATCTGGATTAGGACCACTAGTTACCAGGTCCAGGAGAAGCAGCTCTGGACTGTGGTGGGCTAATGCATGCTACCCTGGCAAGTGCCATCGTTATCTTGGCATCTGGTCACCAGAGATCAGAATGGATCCTGTGCCACAGGAGGAAAGGGACAGAGATGGCAGCATCCCAGCGGAGAGTGTCTTACAATGATTGTAACACACAAGTTCTGAGCACGAACCACCTATTCCTGGCCACTGAATACTTAACAGGGCTGCAAGCCACGGGCTCCAGAACTTACCAAGTGCAAGTTGGAGAGAGAAGCTGACTTTCGGGGTGGCGTTTTCTTCGGGCTAAAAGTGTTCCCAAAGAGAGGCATAGTGTTCTACTGCCTGAGTGCATGTGGCACTTCCGACTGCTTTACTCTATTTTCCAAACACAAAGAAAATGCGAGGATTAGGAATGTTAGGTCTCAAACGTAGCGATTACCTCTAGAATTGTCAGGATTTCATGATTCTGATATTTATAGCTTTTAGTCACTACTTCTTTAAAACCATTGCACCTTTCAAAACTGTTAGGCAACACTCATTTTTAAAGACATTGCTACAAAAGAAACTGATGGGTTCGTTCAAGAGGCGAAATGTATATCGTTACTATTTCAGCTACAGTTGTACCTAAGACAGCATCACTCCACCAGAGGCTCCTCTCTGTCAAACGGTTCTTCTAGCGAAAAAAGGTGTGAACTTTGTGAACACTTTATTTTATATATATATATATATAAACACAAATTGGTGCGATTCTGCTGTTTTGCAGCTTTTCTCCTCACCCCCCGAAACCAGGGGGCAAAAAGGCCCGGGGACCGCCGCCATGACGGGGCAGCACCACCCCCCGCCTCGCACCTACCGCGCCACGTGACGGCGCGAACCGTCTGCGGGGGCGGGAACGGCGCGAGGCGCTGACGTCACGCCCGGCGCTGACGTCACGCCCTCCCCTGACGTCACCCCCCT